TGATCAACTGTCTTATAGTTTCAACGTAGCATTGTTCTTATCTCTTTTCATAGATGTCGCTGTCACAGTCTTCCATCTGATGGCAATATGAGATGTGTAAGGCCTGGTTCACACCTAGGCGTTTTTGAGCAGTTGGAAACATGCTTTTAAATGCCCAACACAAGAAATCCCATGATTTTCAATGGCCTCTAAGCAGACCAAGGCAGAAAAACACCAGCAGAAAATGCCAAACACCTGAAAAGGTACATAAGCTTCTTTGGGCAGTTAAAAGCGCATTTTTGCCCCCTTAGACTCCAATGGAAATGCCGAAAACCGTGCGGCAGATGTTGCACATTTTGGCACGTGTTTTTTGCGTGTTTAAATGGGCGTTCGTCCATTGCCCGCAATGTTTCATAAGTTGCCATTATGTTTCAAAGCGCGTGTCTTCATGTACGCGTGAACAAATGCGCATAAACGCACAAATAACAGCACGCTAAACACACTCGTACAAACGGTGCCGCATAGCTGTGAGCCTTAATCACTACTGATGATACTTCTTCTTGTTTGTTAGAGTGGCATTAGAGAGAAAGCCAAATATCCCTTTATTCAATTAGAGGCTAGACTCATATCGGAAAACAAGAGCGGTTTTTGAGTTTGGGTAGACTATGCAGGGCCTGATTTTCTCTTTGGAAGAGCATCTTGTGACGGTTTTGCAGTTTATATTGTTCATACATGTCATAAATAATTTGTAAAATGTGATTTAGAATAAAGGTATACCTGCTAGTGACTTTGGAAACCCAGAATTCAACCTTTCTCTAACAGGAAAAGTAGCACTTACAAAAAGTTTACTAATAAGGCAAAGAGCAATGTACAAAGATCATCAAGCCAATGTATCTCTAATCATCTTTCACTGTTCAGATGAAGGGAGATATCTGATTGGTTACTGGGGATTACTACACTTTCTTTATGGTTAATGTTCTTTGCACCACTTGACATGTAAGCCTGACTGAGGGCAATTATAGTGGAACTGAATGGATGTCTCAGATTCACACTTGGCAAGCTGGGGCGCCTCTGTTATTACAGGGGAGGATCTAAATATGAAAAATAGAAAAATCGATTTATTTTTAAAAAGTCAGTTATAGTTGTTATTTGTTTTTCTACTGTAGGCGACCCTCCTCATTTGAGGAGTCATGGGCTTTTATCAGCAAAACTTGGCAAAAATGACATTAGATGTCAAAATCTGCCATCCAACTCTACAGAGAATGTCTTGTTCACATTTAATTCCACTGAACAATTTCCAGACAGAGAAGCATTAATGCTTTTGTTGGTTGTAAATCTATCAGACATCTTTTCCTCAGCCAACTACTGTATCATTTCTTGGCAATAGCTGAGCCAATTTTTCTGGAATGCTTTGATCCACATTCTTAATGAGACTGTGGACGATGGACGTTATCAGAAGCAGCGACATTCACCTGGTGCCTAAAGGACTCTCTGTTGTTCAAAGCTGGTTTTATTCTTTTCAGGCTAGGTGGAGATAAGGGGACATACATTTACTCCAATATAGCACAATGCCGCAGGTTAGAGATTAAAGGAGAACTATGGGGTTAAGGCTTTTCCCCATAGTTCTCCTTAGGGTAACGGGAGGACACAAACTAGCGTCCTCCCGTCACCCTAAGCTCAGTATACCGCGAGCTACAGCTCGCGGTATACTGAGACGCCACAGTATACCGTATCAGTATCCACCCAGCTGCGTGAGTGACAGCTGGCTCTGCCTACCTAGAGGCAGAGCCAGCTGTACCCGTCCCCTCCCCGTCCGATCCGCCAGTCAGCACTGGAATGATATTAGATGGTGCTCAGATGGTAAAGTGTATGTAAACCTTTACAATTAACTTTTCCTATTTGCCACCGTTGGTCTGTTATATACCTAGCCCCCTTTGCACTCTGCCTATAGTACACTGAAATATTAAACAAGGTTATCAGCCCTGCCTGATCTCTCTTCTGTGAACTACACCACACCGCTCCACTATATAATGAAAATGAGCAGGAGGTTGGTGTTCTGTAAATCATGTGAGAGCAGCTTACAGTGGCAATGTTGCTCCTCTATAGACACAGTAGAGTCAGTGAGCATTGTCACCTTTAAAAAAAGAAGTATGTTACTGGATGACCAGGTGAAAAAAAGGGCTTAAAAACAAAACCAATGCAGTCACCACATCTAAGGACTGGTTTAAGGTTCTTGGGTTTAAGGTACACTTTTAAGTCCAATTCTAGTTTTTTTTTTGTTAGTTTAGGGTAGAGTAGAGAAGGGTTAGAAACACTATTTAGTCAATATTACTGTACTGCCATAACTGGGGAGATTTACCACCTCTTCCTGTCTATAATAGAACAGAACAAAAAGTGAATGCAAATAATTTCAACAGGGACCAATAGAGCAATAACAATTGGGCAAATGGTTTAACCCTTTCAAGTTCTATTAAAAGAATTGAGAATTGTACTTAATGTTGTCTGTGTCCCTATTTGAAAGATTACTAACACCCCTCAAATAGACACATAAATAACACAATGGTAAGAAAAAAAATCCTTTCCAATCCCTTCCCTCAGTCTCCATGTGCCTGTACATTTTCTTTCAAAAGGTATTTTATCTATGAATATTTTCAGTACAGAACACAACAAACCAGATCAACAATAAAGTTGGATATTGAAGTAACTGGCTTTTGTGTGGACTTCTGTTACACACACTCACATTTACACACTGGCCTCTGCCTACCACCCCCAAAATAGTAGAAACTATGTATGATAAAGATGTCAAAATACAAAAAAACACATTTCAGCTTAGTATAAAGTCCTACCGAAGTTGGTTTCCAGAGTTGGAACTGTTGTAAACCTTTGCCCAAAAACTAATTTGGCCATACCCAAGTTGTTTGTATTTAGGCAAATGTCTGTGATTAACAAAGGTTTTTAGATTCATGTTGGGTTCTTTCAAGCATGCACATTTGAGTGAAGAAAAAATGTTCAAAAACAATTTTGTATCAAATAATAAAAAAGAACAAACATATCAAGTTAGACCAGCCCATCAATAGCTGAGCACAAGTTGTGCAAAACATTAAAGATCTCCGGGCAGTAGAAAACTTAACCCTTGCAGTGCGGGGGTAGTCCCACTGCAAGGGTTCAGTTTTCTACAGCCGGAAGCTCTTCTTTGCAAAGCATATATTGATCCTTCTTTCATGCCTAGATATAGGTACAGTACTCAGAGTTTTGTCAATTAAAAGGATTTTTTGGGAAAGTAAAATTAATATAAAAGATAGAATTCTTATTTAGCCTACGATATACACCACCTGGAAGACTAATCGGCATGACGTAAAGAATACAAGACATTTTGAAGCTGATAGAAACAGGCACTAAAAGTCTCTATCAAAAACCTTTTAAAACAGTCTTCTCTTCATGTGGTTGCATGCTTAGGATTTTTTGAACAGAACCTTAAACAAAACTAGCTCTTATTTGCTTTACATTGATCTTTATTGGCCAAACGTTTTTCTGGCTCTTGTAATGCGCCTGTAAAACTCTGAGTCACCTAATCTCCTGAGGTCTTCCTGGGCTACAGCCAAAAGAACAATTTAAAGAGGAACCAAAGTTTAAAAAAATTCATGTTGTGCCTTATTTCGACTTAGATGACCTAGGACAGCCCAGTTCTGCTAATGAGGACAAGCACATCTATTGCACTGAATGCAATGTAACTATGATCTTAGACTGAGAGAATTTGGTGTGACTGGAACATGGTTCTTTTAAAAAGCTGCCAAGATTTCCAGCTTAAAGTACAATTCCAGCCAAACTTGGTTTTTAGCCTTGGATAGCATGGGAAAGGGTTAAAACTCCTGTCAAGTTTTTACTGCTACCTTGGATCCAAACAGGGAGATTTTGCTTTACTTGTTATCCCCCGAGAACCTCAACAGGAAGTGAAAAATGTTTTCCCTAAAGTAAGGGGCAATCTCACTTCTAACAGTGGTCACTTAAACAGGTGTCCCCATGGCAAGATATCTCCAATACAACTTCCTCAGTGGCAGCCATAAATGTTGAATTCCCCATTATTTTATGTCCTGTAAAATAGTCACTGGGACAAATAGTAACAATAGATCTCCACATCTTAAACATAGACAGTAATTAAGCCTTGATGCTTGCTTACTTTTCATCATTCTAGTTAAATCTAGAGTTTTAGTAGACACCAGAAAACGAGTAAAAAAGTGAATATATTTATTTCTTCACTATTTGTACTATTTGGGACAGGGAAAGGTGATAGATGGAGGTCAGAAGGGGCAGGAAGAACTTACTCTCTTCCCTCTAGGGCGAAACAAGACACATAACTTTGCCACATGGTAGAAAAGCCATCGCTGCCAATGCAAATCCTGAGGCCAACAGATCGTTTATCTCACATAGCAACAGGTCAGATTTCATAATCAGCTAGGGAATGGAAACTGTAAGCTCATTGGTTGTCCATCTATTTTATAGAGCTCTGCCCTAGTTTGTGGGCACATACCGCAGTTATGATGTCGCCTTAATTTTTTTTCCACTGCTATTATATGAAGCCATTAGTTGACAAATTTCCCATCCACCCCCACTTTCCTATAATCTCTATAGCTTACTACATGCCAAACCATCCAAACATATACTGTTTTTTTTTTCCTGCAGATTTCGGTTTAATTCCTCTGTTTCTAAGATCACACGTTTTACCCGAACTAAAGAGTGAGAAGATTAGTGAGTCATGGAAAGTGGGGGTGGTGGTGGTAAAGGACTGTCATGTTTGTGGTCTGCTCTGCTTTTACACTCCCATAAAGTCAGTACCTAGCAACAAATGTTCCCAAGAACCAAAATTCAGATTTCTGAATAAAAACATTTTGCTGGAGCAATAAAGGACATGGACTTTCCCAACACAGGCCTGGCATACTGGCTATTAATAGGATTGTTAGAAGCAGAGGTTTGATGCTAAAGAAGATTCAAAAATAAATAATTAAGGCTTGGGCTTTACTTACCCTTCGGCCTTTTGGACCCCGTACACCTGGAGACCCGCGTGACCCAGGCAAACCCTGCGACAAGAAAATACGCTACTCATATGTAATCCAAACAAAACCAAGTCTTAAACAGTTTCTGTTGTTTAAAGAATAACACTATCCAGTACTTAATATGTACTTTCAGAATTATAACCATTGGTAACATTTTATGTACTCTGTCATCTGTTTTTTTTTTTTTTTTACATCTGCTGGTCTAGAGCTTCTCTTTTGGTGCCAAAAATATTTTAAGGGTATCGCCACTTTTGCAGTCAAATTTGAGACCCCCCACCCACTATATGTTTGCTGTGTTCCCCTTCACACAGCATACCTAAACATTAATTTTAAATATATATTTCTGGTCTTTCTACTTGTTTCTTTGAAGAAGTTTTATACATAGGACTCTACAAGGCAGATTGTATTGCTTAAATACAGAGGGGGGAATTTATCAAAACTGGAGCAGACAGAATCTTGAGCAGTTGCCCATGGAAACCAATCAGAGAGAGAGAGAGAGAGAGAGAGAAGCTAATTGGTTGCCATGCACAGCTGCTCCACTTTTGATAAGTTCCCCTCCATGAGATTAGAAACCTGCAAGGTTGCTGTGTCACTGATGGAAGTAGGAAGAGCTGAGCTGGCTTAGAGAAGGACTTCACTGCTTCTGTTGTGAAATTTGAGTATGGATTGCTGCACAGTGTCTGCAGCTATAGAGAGCTTGTTTTAAAGCTCATTCACTGAAGGTATAGTATATGTAAATATTCGAATGTGCAAAGCCTGGCCACAGTTATACTTTAAAAGGCTACCTAAAAAGTGCTTAAAGGAGAATTATGAGGCAAGGGATTTGCACTCAGCCTCATAATCTGAGCCGACATGTGACAATGAAACTGTCACACGTCGGCTCAGTAGATCGGGAGAGCCAGATGTTAATCCGGCAGCTGGGTGGATCTCGACAGCAATGTCGGGATCCGTCCTGGCTGCGGCGTCTCAGTATACCGCGAGCTGTAGCGAGCTGTATACTGAACTCTGGGTCACGGGAGAACGCTAGTTTGTGTTCTCCCGTGACCCTTAGGAGAACTATTGGGAAAAGCACTGACCGCATAGTTCTACTTTAACCCTTTCACAGTAGTGGCCGCACCGCCCGACACCCTCGCCGTGTTTCCCAGGCTCCGCTGCCCTTCCTACGGGCCCGGGACCGGCATCTAGAGTGTCAGTGGGAAGCTGGGGAGGAGAGCGGTAAAGTCCCTTCAGCGATCCTTCCCCGTTCTACAGGACTGGGAGCAACGCGCATTGCATCACTTCCGGTCCCCTGAGCTATCAGTGCTGGGCTCCTGAAGCCCAGCAATAAGCTGGTGAAGTGCAATCTGCACTTCACTAGCTTAGAGTGTAAAGGTGACACTAGGGGTCTTTTGGACCCCCAGTATCACCTTAAAGAGGACCTGTCACCACCAATATGCTATCACACGTGATATCAATTAAAGTAAAAAAAAAAGCTTCAAAACTAATATTAATTAAATGAAATGTAAACATTTTTTAAAAATTTTGAAGTCCCCCGCGAGCACGTGCATCGTCACGTAAACACGCGTTGGGTGCGCCTACGCATGAAAACGAGGATTGCGCTACACATGTTGGGTATAGTCGCACATGCCAGAGTGAGAGCAATAATTCTAGGGCCAATATTTATGCACATCTCTAAACTGATGTGTATGGACTTTTTGGGGTACTGAATTCTGTCGCAGTTTCACAGACGCACACCATTTTGACCTGGGCATGTTGGGTATCTATTTACTTGCTGTAACCTCCTCTTTTAAATTTTACCCCAAAAATTGTTTTATATAGTGTTTTGGGGCTCAAAATGTTACTTAAGTGCATTTTTCACTAAATCTTTGGGTTTGATAATAAGTTGCGCTAATGTTGTGCAACATAAAAAATTGCAACTGCCACCATTTTATTCTATAGGGTCTTGGCTTTCAGAAAATATATAATGTTTTGGGGTTTTAGGTAATTTTCAGGCCTAAAATGTGGATTATAACATGTAAACAAAAAATGAAAAAAAGGCCTCAATCATGAAGGTGTTAAGTAATACTAAAGTGACTTCTCAGTCATTAAGATGGTATGTTATTTTAGCATGTCTTAAATGATAACTGCACTTTTCTTAAAACATTGATATATCTTCTACAAAAGCTTTTTATTTTTGTAGTGTTCATAAAAAATGTGCTTTAAGTTTACTTTTTGCTGAACTTGATGGACTTTTTTTCAACCTTACTAACTGTCTAACTGTTTAATCTGCAGCCAGCTATGGTTTTCTAAAACCGGCACAAAATTCAAATGCAGCTTCCTTGTATGGGGTGTACTGTGCCCTTCAGAAAATGTCATTGGGAGCTCATGTAATTGCTTCTGTTTCCAGCAGTTTTTCTCTCTGTATTACAGGCAGTCTCCAGGTTTGGAACAAGATGGGGACTGTAGGTAGGGTTGCCACCCGTCCGGTTTTCAACCGGACAGTCCGGGTTTGGCGTCTTGTGTACGGGTGTCCAGCCAGCGGGCACCCGTACACAAGACACTCTGCTGACACCGGCACTTTAAATTTTCTCGCAGATGCGGCTGCGAGGTCCTTGGTAAGTGTGATCCACGGCAGCCGCTGCCGCATCTGCCTGGAACCGGATCTTCCTCTGAGCTGCGGGCAGCCTGTGTCTGTTTACAGGTGCCCGCAGCTCAGAGGAAGGGCCGGGTTTTAGGCAGATTCGGCTGCCTAAGATCGGGCTTGCCGAGGACCCCCACAGACGCATCTGTCATTGCCTTCTCCTCCTCCAGCTCCCTGACATCGTGCTGCCCACCTGTGGACCCCTGGTGAGACAGCATAGCCCATTTAGCCCACCACGAGAGCCCGCACAACCCACCAGGCCACGTGGAGACATCAGTGCGTCAACACAGAACAACACAGAGTATGTAGCTTCATATTATTTTGTATTGCTGTATAATGTATTGCTGGGATTTGTAGTCCTCTCTAGCTGGTCTCATCACTCCCTCCCCTGGCTGCCTCTCCTCTATATTAAAAAAAAAAATTGCCGCGTGCGGCGCTAGAGTGCTCGGGTTTCACTTGAAGAAAAGGTGGCAACCCTAACTGTAGGTCAAAGTTGAATTTGCATGCAAGTTGGAACAGGTATATTTTTTAGGTGTAACTCCAGCCAAAAAAACATTTTCTAGTTTTGGATAGCATGGGGAAGGGCTAACCCTCTGTAACATTTGTTTTTCTGTCCTCACAGTGGCTCTAATCCCACACCATACTAACCAAAACTAAAAAAAAAAAAAAAAAATTTGCATGGAGTTCTACTTTAAATGCAACTTGGACAGATTTGTTCAATTTCATATAATGAACAATACCAGACCCGGAAGAAGAGGCAGGCACTCCTCATCTGCATGTCTAACAACTTCCTGTAATGTACATTAGGTACAGTACTACGTCCATCGGCGCGAGCACTGTAGCATTACAACTAGTGGAACAGCCTGGGACCTCCGTTCGTAAGTGTCTCGAATGTTCGTAACTCGGGGACTGCCTGTACAGCACTAGGACAAATCATATGAATTCAGCAAATGCTCCCACTCAGGAAGCAGGAAGTGAGTGGAATCCATGTGGGAGATTCAATACATTCAGTGAATGTTTTTTTTTTCCCTCTACTATAGTGGAGTTACCCTCTAATTCAGTGGTTCTCAACCTGTGTAACCTCGGGACCCACATGTTTCCTTGGTCATTAAGGCGTGACCCAAAAATGATTTCAGTTCTGAAACATTTTAATTTAAACATATTTATAAGTTCACTGGCAAATTATAGGCATCAACACTGGGAAAACTAAAGGGTGTTACAATAGTACAATAGTTTAAAAGAACAGCCCATTTATGTAAATTATAGACAATGCATTGAGAGAATAAAACACTGTCTAGAGCTATATGAGACTAAAAAAGGAAAGCTATGGAGAAAAGAGAGGCAGCGTGATTTGGGTACAAATTATGGGCTCTCCCTCCAAAACAAGGGCAGAGAGGACATATAGGCCCCAACCTTACTCTTTACCATTGCTTCTGTGCCTTCTAGAGTAAAGATGATAGCATGGATGGCAATGGGGAAGCTCCTATGGTATATGCTATGACAAACACAGCAGCATAATAAACATAACAATATAACCACAATGCTGTATTTCTGCTATACTAATTTTTTTGGCAACCACTCCACACTGCCACAACTGCACAAATGTACAGAGCATTTTGGTAAGGGGCCTTTTCACGGCCAGATTCCAAGGACAAAGTGGCAAAGCTCATAGTACAAATAAAAATATAGTAAAAACATTAGTAAGAAACTTACCGGAGGCCCAGGAGGACCTGGAGGACCCCGAGGCCCTGGATTGCCAGTATGACCCTGCAACCAACAGAAGAAATTTAGCTTTGCTTTATAGCATTTATATATATTAAGCAAACTCCTCTGATGTGCCAGGAAACAGCAGAACTAATTCAAGTATACAACTATTGCTTGAAATTTGAACCACTGATAATATTATCACCTTCATAACTTAAAGTGAATCTGTAGTCTGAACATTAAAGTATTTACATAATCTTAACAAGCAGCAAATAAACCTTAAAAGAAGCCCTCACTGGTCTCTATAGCTACAAGCACTGTGGAGAAAATAATCCTCAAAATTAATAGCAGAAGCACTGAAAGTGTTCTTTAAGTTAGCCAAACCCACCTGGCCATCCCTTACAAAGCAAATGCGCTGTGCTTATATTATAGATAACAAGGTTAAAAGGCTGCTGGGTCAGAGCTCAGAGGGGGAGCAAGGTGAGTTGAGCTGCTGAGTCACTGGTGGGAAGTGGGATAAGGGGAAACTGGGGTGGCTTAGAAAACCAGTTCAGTGCTTCTGCTTTGAACATTTTAGGGTGAATTGCTCCACTGTTCTTGCAACTACAGAGGTTAGTAAGGGCTTGTTTTGAAACTCATTTACTGCTTGGAATAATACCGTGTTTCCCCGAAAATAAGACACTGTCTGCCCCAAAAAAACACACTAGGTGTAATATTATTTTTTTATGTGCAACAAAATGTACAACAATCCAAAGTTATCTGGTATCACTCCACCAGTCACAGTAACCGGCGCTATAGAGGAAGTATCGGCTAATGCGGCTCTGCTCCCTCTGCCGCCGCAGTCTTGCTTTCTACAGCGCCGGCTTCCTTTGCCATCAGGGACAGCGGTACCAGCGGTGCAGCAGTGTGGACATCAAACAGTGGACAGCGCGGTAAAGTGCGGTACCATTTACTGGTACACATTACAGTGCTACCACTAAACGAGGTCTTATTTTGGGGTAGGTCTAATATTACAGGAATCTTGAAAAATAGTGCTAGGTCTTATTTTCGGGGAAACACGGTATGTACATTGCCTGGACAAAAACATTTAACCACCTGGATTTAGCATTGTGATCTGGGGTTGCTTTAATTGGTCAGATCTAGGTTCAGCAACATTATATGCCCAAATAAATGAGGTCAGCTGCCTACCTGAATATACGAAATGACCAGGTTTTTCCATCAGTGGATTTTTTCTTCCCTGATGGCATGAGCCTATTTTGAGATGAAAATTTAGGATTTATTGGGCTAAAATTGTGAAAGAGTGGTTCAGGGAGCATTAGAGATCTTTTTCAGTCCAGGCCTTAACCCCATTGAAAATCTTTGGGATGTGCTGAGGAAGACTTTACGCTGTGGTCCGACTTCCCTCATCATTACTACAAGATCTTAGTGAAAAGTTAATGCAACTCTGGACGGAAATAAATGTTGTGACATTGCATAATCTTATTAAAACGATGCCATGGGGAATGCATGCCGTAATTAAAGCTAAAGGTGCTCCAATTAAATATTAGTGTGTGACTTTTATTTTGCCAGGCAGTGTATTTGAATATCCACCGCATGGCCACAGGTTCACTTTAAGGTACATTTTTTCTGGTTGAGTAATTGCATTATGTTTGTCAATTCAGATGGAGCACATGATAGAAAATGCATAAGCAAGGGTTGCCTTCAGTAGTTACTGAATGTAAAAGTAATCAGTATATTCAAACACAGGCAGCTGAAATGAACAATCGAAATTTGCATGTCATGTAATACTGATCTTGGTTGCATTCTCACTTGCCCCTCAGACCTCCCTGTTGGTCAATGAGGCTGACATTAAAGGTCTTATTCAGAGGCTTGGCAAGTGGGAAGAGGTAGAAGAAAAAAAAGTTAGAATTTCCATATAATTGCAGCTGCCTATCACTCAGGATTTACTTAATCATAGGCTCAATTCTAACTACTACAAAGTGTGCAGGTTCTCAAGGTCTGAAAAATCAGGGCCCTAAAATAAAATAAAGCGAGGATGGCATAACTACATTAATAGGTAAAACATTTACCTACTTTATTTGCAATGGAAGACCAGCTTCTGAACTCCCCAAAGTCTACATAGAATATGGGGACGATTCATTCATTAGCAGGATGGCTGTACCACAACTATACTGCTGCTTTAAGAAAAAATACCTTCATAGCGATGAGAGAACACTATGGGATACTGCAGGCTCCATACTGTGACCTGCATTTTATGAATGGGTCACAAAATGAGGGCAGTGGTTCTCAGTAACCCTGAGGAGTATGACAGAAATGCATATGTGAATGCACACTGCGTGGATGTGGTTCAGCCATGTTCTGTGTTTTTAATCTGACTTCCATGTAAAACAAGTGCAGCCAGGTAACAAAAAGTTGCTCAAATGTGAGGGGACATTTCTGCTTACTATAGAATGTGCTGTGCAATCTTATCTTTATGTTTAATGTGTGAACTGTCAGGTTCAGATGTTTGACTGGTGGCTATGAGGAACATGATAGTACTGACATTCTGATACAGTGCGTATGTTCTTCATATAGAGAGACAGCAAGATGCTTGTAGTATGTGTATCTGGGAAACCCTTTCCTGCATTATTACACAGATATGCAAAAGCAGTTCCCAGATCAATAAATAATTAACAAAATGGGCTGAGCTGGTGCAGTACAGCTATGCCTGGATAAAGGGTCTGTCCCTTGCATGCATTCCAAGGCATAATTTTGAGTCTTGATGTGAAGTTACCCTTAATCGGGTTTAAAGGGGAATCAGAAGCATAAGGAGACATACCTTCCGTCCTGTGGGATTGCTTTGATAATATGACTGCTGGCTAAGACCTTATGGTGTTTAACAAAATGGATACATTCACTGCAATAATTTGGTGGAATGGCATTTTTAAAATACACCCTACGGCTCGTCCATGGCCTTTGAAAATGGCAGCTTTAAATAGCTTATTTCAGTAAAGGCCTTGTGCATGCAGGAAATACTTGGATCTAATACACATAAACAGACTGGGCGGGGGGAAAAAAGCCAGGGTAATTATGGTAAACAGTAGCCCCTGTAATATTCAAACAGAGCAGACGTCAGGGCACATAGGTATACAACCGCACTAGAAAAATACACTCCCCTTAAGCAAACACAGAAAGCTAAACACACAAGGCAAAAACTATCCAAACACAAGTACAGACCCCTCTCTGAGAGGGAATCCAGTCAAGCACGTGGCTACAGGAGGGAAAATGACAGCAGTGACACCGGCTACTCACACACGTGAATTTCCCAGCATACACTTGTGGTTAGCGTACGAAAACCTAATGGCTACTAAGCTGGCAAAAATTGAGTTCTGTGCTGGAACCTGTGTCCTACCCAAATTTGCTTTAATAATGATGTTAAGATTGTATTTTTCATTTGTGCTTAGCATTTCATGGTATGGAAGCAGCTCATCAAATGGCTATAAACTAGCTTCCATTTTGTCAAAGCCCAGAAGTTCCAGAAGGCACTCTGATTACCAGTCTCTCACGCTGTTGTTCTCTAGTTATCAGGAGATTACTTGTGCTTGGTAACACTATGTATCCTATTACTAAAAATCTTATATGTGCCTGATGGCTGTCCAGTTTTATGTGTGGTACATATTACAACCTACTTTTGCCAGCCAGTGTGCACACTACATCTTTGCCTCTATAAGTCCTACAGGTGGTGGAAATAAATCTTACCATTGATCCCTTTTCTCCTGGTGGACCTGGAGCCCCAATGCTGCCACGGTCACCCTAATAGAAAGAGCAGGCGTGATTATTGGTTCAGGTAACTATGTACACATGTATTCCAGACAGACATATAGATACCATAGATAGAGACACACAGGACATATTAGTAGTTTCAATATAATGAACAGTTCAAATTATATTTGAACCCTATACACATTGTTTTACCTTCTCACCCGGAATTCCTGGCTCCCCCACAGGACCAATAAATCCTGGAGCACCCTGAATTAAAAAGAAAAGTGTCTTATTTACTCTTTCTTCCTTTGTTTTTACTTAAGAGCAGTTAAACATGTATATGGTTCTTATGCCAATGGAAGCATTTATTTTGAGCAGCCACTGTTCACAATGGCAAGAGGTACCCTGGGAAGGTTGCCATTCATTAAAATGTAGCTCGTCAATTCTCTTGACTAAAACCAGAAGGCAGCCGTTAATATCAGGAACAAACTGAGGCAGAAAAGCATGGTCGTGTAGGTGATCATTGCACTATACATTGTTTACTTCCATACTACCCCTCCATAATTGAAGGGCCAGCCCACACTAATGTGATATCTTAGGTGTAGGTCGAATGTGGTGGGCTGAGTCAGCCCCTGAATAAGTAAATGTCTTGGATACGCCAACAGTGAAATCTCCTTGCGATTAATTTCCAGTCTTCCAGTCAGAAATGTTGGGTGTTCTCTTCCACCTTTGTGTTTTCCTTCTCATCCAATCTCCATGAAACAGCCTGACCTTTAAGATCTGGTTTAGGACATACCTACATTAGCCTTCTATCTACCGCCCTTATTTCTCCACCTATTTGTAAGCAGTTAAGCAGTAACACAAAGGAAGGTAGGAGGAGGTCTGCAACAGGACAGAGGTATGTAGAAAGGATGTTCTAAAAGTGGCACCATTTTCAGCATAGAGTCAGGCAAATCGTTGCTGTAGAAAAAATAAATTCTTAAAATAGCCATTTTGGTTAAATAAGAAAGTAGATTTCATAACTGGAAATATACTGATTTTATCCTCATTTCAAAAAGGGATACAAAATATTGGCAATAGTGAAAAGTGTAAAAGTAAAGACCCTTTAAAGCTTGCCTGTACTGAGCTAAGGCTGTAAATACACACCAGAAAAGTAGTGCAGATACACAGAAGTGCCTCAGTACCTCCTCAATTATGTTCTAATGTTTAGGGAGCCCCAAAACTAGGACCCAAAGCCTGCTTTCTCATTGATCTAGGAATGCTATAGTTGATCTGACAGCCAATCAGTGAGGCTCAGGAGGCAGAGCCAAGCATAGACTTCCCAATAAAAGGCCATATATGAATTAATATTGCTAATGCATGCCTCAGGGTTCCAAAATGCCAAGACTCTACAGAATAAATGAGGAGATATCTATTTTACAGCATAAGCCATGAGTACACGTACACTTTAAGGGGAAATTCAATCTGGCCATATTAGAATTAAAATGTAACAGATCCTCTAGTCTATTAGCATGTTACATAAGAAGGCAGTTATTCATTACATCTTATTTGAAACACAAACATTTAAAACAAGGCCAAGGATGGAGTCCTGGATCACACCGAGCTGGCTCCGGATCAGCCAGCTTGAACATAAATTTATATGTTAATTTACTAGCTTCCAACCACAGCATTTCATCAGCCTTTTATGAGAATTCAAAAAGCTGCACTCATGTTGGTCCAATTTGGGGTAACTCAGGGTACCAATTATCTACTATACGAGAGACTGAAACAAGACTGGAGAACATTTTACTGGGGAAAAAAATATATTCCTCCAGTAAGTATTCTTCCAGAAAGACAAAAAAAGTCTGAGCAAGCATTAAGATATTTTGAGAGTAAAGAACCTAATATTGTTATTGGCGCTCAGGTTAATGGCTCCTTTCTTGCTGAGCTTGAACAGCTATGTGTAAATATTGGATGGGACCTGTAAGTGTGGATTAACGACTCCGGGTTATATAACAGCACGAGAAAGGCCCTGTGTCTTGGAGATAGGCTTGCCTGAGACAAAGCAGACTTAAAGCAACACTATACCCCAATACAAAATATGAAAATACAATACACACATTATGTGAAATCCTACCAATAACAGTCACATCTCGGTATTTATAATGTGTCTGCATCTGAAGACAAATTGAGAGACTTGGCATTTATTAATGTAACAATCTATGCGGCCACTGCATTCTGAAAGCCTTCTGTGACAGTACTACACATGAAGTTAGCTGTGTGTAGAAACTTTTAGTCTCCCAACAGCAATATTAGGTAGCTATTGTGAGGAGAATTGGCTCCTCAGCCCATGCTTCTGACTGCCGGACCCAAGTGACCCGGTACGTGACCTTCCACGTCCTCCCCCAAAACAGCAAATCGTAAGAGTCATGTGAGGGTGGAGGGAAGCAGCATAGCTTTCTGTAAGCTTTGACCCAGAGCAGACAGGAACTTGCATAAGCCTTCCTCTCAGAGCTCCAGCAGAGGGTAGGTATGAGTGTCTGAATGGGGAAGATACAGGTTAAATTAAACCTTTAAATGTGCTTAAAACCTCTTTTGTATTACCAACATATGTAGGTATTGTGGTCCTTTAAGTCAGATAGAGACAGGGCCTTGTCATATTTAAATCCTGCCCTGTCTTCAGCAATTGCTGACCACCCAAGACTATGTGAACATATAACATTTATTGAAAGATGGAGAGAATGACAAATTCAGTGCTATTCAGTCTTAAAATTACACAGTAGGAGATGAAGTTTACAGCACCTGTTCGCCGATCTTCCCAGCTCTTCCTGTGTTTCCTGGCTCACCCTGCAGAAGTAGCAACAGACAGAAAGACAGTTACTTAAAAGCTATGTTCTCGCATTGCTGAGCATACTAAATGAAGTGTTCAAAGAAAACATAGAAAGGCAGGTGTTAAGAAGAAGATGGCGGTGTGAATCAGTTCTGGGGCTAAAAGCTGTTTGGGAATGGAAAATGATGGTAAGAAAGAAAGGTGGAGAGTACCTGTTCGCCCAGAAAGCATGGACGGTAGACAAGGTTCTATTGACTACTTCCAGCCAGGTCATGATTTCAGGCTTTCCTTTATCCTACACAGGAAAGTGTTTTTTTAATTTTTTATTTCTGCATAAGTAAATGCCACAGTTGCTCGCACTGAGGGAAATGCTGAAAACATGACCTGATGTGGATACCTAAAGACTAAAAACTGATATAGTCTGATGTTTAAATTAGGGAGCTATTTAAAAACTATAATAGCTCACGGTATTTAGATTATCTTCCATTGTTGTAGCTGCTCTAAAGTGAAATGTGGTTATCTGCAGGCCTTTGTTCTGGAAACAAACCTACATCAACACTCTTGCTGGGATGGATAAATAAGGTATGAAAGGAAAACTAAGCCACTTATTTTTCTTGGAGAAATTGCCATTCCAGGTTTCCTCCAGTACTCTTCATATAATAAAAAGGCAAGGCATTTGGCGAGGCTGCAGAGCCCCCTATGGATCCTGCAAAGCCCACCACAGATCCTGCAAAGCCCCCCAAAGATCCTGCAGAGACCCCCCGAGACCCTGCAGTCTGTCAGATCTCAGGGGGGCTGTGCAGGATCTGTGGTGGGCTTTGCAGGCTGCAGAGCCCCCTACGGATCCTGCAAAACCCACCACAGATCCTAAAAAGCCCCCGAGACCCGGCAAAGGCCCCCACAGATCCTGCAGAGACCCCCTGAGACCCTGCAGTCTGCCGGGTCTCAGGGGGGCTGTGCAGAATCTACCTGGCACAGGAAACCCAGCCTCCTCCGCTGCCTCAGCGACCAATCGTCGTAGCTTCGCCGCCCAACTGGAGCCTAAGCGACGCCTCCACCATCGCCGTCTATGCCCCCGCCTCCTCTGTTGCAGTCTTCGCCCCCCGCCTCCTCCGTCTTCACCCGGCCTCTTCCATCTCCGCCCCCTGCCTCTCTGTCCCCCGTCTCCTCCTGCTCCCCCGCCTGCCGCTTCTTCCCAGTTCACCTTAGGTAGCCAGGCTGCCGGTTTCTGTGCAGCCCCTCTGCCTAAATGGTTTTGGGGGCGGCATTTTTGCCGCTCCCCTGGAATCTGCCGCCCGAGGCAAACGCCTTGTTTGCCTCGCGGCAGATACGCCCCTGACCATGGATTGAGTACTGAAAGTAGTTTTGGAAATCTTAGTTTCCCCTTTTGCTTTCTCTACGATATCAGAATTTTTGTTGAGTTGTTAGACACCTGTCTACCATGCCAAGCTGTAAAGACTTAACATGTGTGTGAGAAAACAAGCTAGAAGACTGACATGCTACACTATGAGGTGAAAATAATCATCTGACTACCTTGTGCCAGTTTCAGTTTTGTAGCACCCTCTTTTTATAAAGCTTCCTATGAGGACATCAGTGCCTTTCACGCCTAACTCTGTTTTTAAAATAGAAAAGGGGCAGGGCTATGCTCCTCATTTCACTCAAACTGATAATTCAGTTTTTGGTAGACATTTTTTAACAATTCTCCATATAGGATATATAAGATAGATGGTAAGATCTCTGTGCTTGACTTTCAGGGTGTGCACAACTACTGTGGCATTTATTAGGGTTCCCACTTTCCCTGTTGGATGTTTTATTTAATTTATAATATAGAGAATCCACTGGTGGAGTGTGAACATGCAAAGGGCAGAAATATAAGAAGCCAGAGCCCAATTCAACATACCAAGTTGCACCAATAATTAGGATATCTGTTTTGTGTGTCCTGTCTATTTAAAGGAAACATCACAAAGCTAAAAACCTGTCTAGCACACTTAAGTGATATTAAAGTCAGATGGTTTGTAAGCCATTTCAAATGCTGATGAAATCAGTTATCGGTTACAACAGATGCTGCTTAATGATCTTTAAACGTTTTAGTTTCCTGCAGAATTATCTGTTCCCCTGAGCGCTGGTCCTAATACCCTGTTTTAGGGTGGCTCTTTTCCTTTGCAGGGTCCTAAGGAGCCACGCTTATGTGTGCAAGTAAGCTGTGTGTCTCTCCTTAAACACACAGGTAAAGCAAGGCAAGTCACTGTCCCGTTCCCAGGTCCCCACTCCTCCCTCCTTCCTTCTCCCTTTCTTAAAGTGACATTAAAGGATTTTTTTTTTCCCTGTAGGGACTTACCATAAATTATGCCTCTTAATCCGATCATCTTCTTTCTTACTGTCGTTTTTAGCTGTCCCTCCAGCGCTGCTGTGGGTCTCCGATCCAGCGCTGACTCCTCTGTCCTCCTCTTGGCTCATGTCCCACGGAGTCTGTGCGGGTGCACGCTGCTCCATAGACTTACCTTGTGTCTCTCCTCGTCTCCCGGCTGAACATCTGATCCTTTGCGGCCACCCAAGACATTTTCAGATGTTCGGACGGTAGCGCGCATCAAAGACACAGGTAAGTTTAAACCTGTTTCAAATGTTTGTTTTTTTTTTTTTAGTTTTTGCATATATCTACTGCTTGCTAGCAGTAGATATATGCAAAAAAAGTGAGGGTTTAATAACCCTTTAAGCTAGTAGATGGACAACAGCTGCAGACTGCTGTGATCTTGTACTGGACAGGAAGTTTAGAGAAACTGAGCTGAGAGCATTGGAGCCAGCTGTTTGGAAACATAATAACTGTAAGTGCTTGTAAAAAATAGAAATACTTTGGTGCAAAATGATTAGTTGTTTGATCTAGAACTATTATAAAAAAAAAAATCAGAGTATAAAATTGATGTGGAAACAGCTACTATCTCTGATATTTCTGATTTCTGGGCAGCACGTTACTTTTGGAGCTCTGAAATGTAACCTGCTCAGCTTCACAGTCAATTACTTCACTACCTCAAGCATGATGTCTTTAAAATGGACCTTTACCCCTTTCACTAAAAAAAAAGAAAACCACATCAGCATGCAGCTCTGCATGCTGATATTAAATCATCTTACATTCATTAGTTAAACAAACATATTTTTATTTTACTTGCAATTTCTTTTTTTCTACTTCCTGGTCCACTTTGGCACAAATGATGTGCACAAGCATTGCATCCTGGGAAGGTTACATCAGCAGTTTTGCTGGTAAATCTCATATGTAATCTCACAAGATCCCAGGCAAAGGCAATTTCCTCCTCTAAGATAATGTGTATGGTCACATGTCCTAGTCACATGTGCCAGAATTCTAGGAAGTAAAGTGAGATGGATTCACCTGCTCTTAGTAAAAATGGCCACTGTGAGAAGAATGGGGAGGTAAAGAAAAATAAGGTATGCAAATAATAAAAAGCCAGCAATTATCTATAAGTATCTGTTTGTAGATTGTCGTTACTAAACATTTCTAAAGTAGTCTTTGTTGTTATTTTGAAGATATGGGTAAAGGTCCGCTTTAAGTCCTCAAAAGTAAAAATACATTGCCTGCTTTTATAGGAGGCTCTGTAGACAAGGAAACCTTAACCTGTCTCTGTAGACAAGTTTCCTTAAACATATAAACTTTCGTTATGGGCAAAAAGATGTTCTCTCTACCTAGCCTTGCATTAGCTTCAAAGTGACAGGACCAATTTAAAAGTATTTTTTTGTTTTTTTTTCAGTGAAGCATAGAAGGCCCTAAAAGTTAGTGCTTTATCTGTCCCTGGCTTCTGTTCCTGCATGTTATATCAGCCTGTTATAATTTGCTGGTGTGAGCTGGATGTGATCTTGAGGATTTACTTGTCACACATGGAAATAGGATGTGTAAAAAAAAAAAAAATCTGAGTCAGTTTGTGGATTTTTTCTTCACCCTCGACTCGAGTAATGCCAGCAACGCGTGCCAGGTCTGAAGAGTAGCAAACCTCCCAGACTAACAATGCATGCCAGGTAAAAGGAACTCTTTGTTACATGGAGCACAAGCACCAGAGGAGAATGGTCAAAATACAGAGGGGGGAATTTATCATAGCAATTGCGCGTATTTGAACTAGGGGCCAACATAAATATGGATCAGACATAGGAATGAATGGAGTGAGTGGCACTTATCTGCAATAAAAGCTGGACATGGCTGGGACTTCTCTCTATAAAGGCTGTCCAGCATCAGGAGGGTCACACAGTAAAGAACCCAGGAGCAGGTCTTAAGTGAAGCTGTCCTTTAGGCCTGGTTCACACCTGGGCGTTTTACAGCGCGTTCCTACGCTCTGTAAAACGCTCAACATGTGAAAACCAATGATTGCCTATAGGCATGGTTCCCACCTGGGTGTTTTACAGCGCGTAAAAACGCGCTGCAAAACGCCCTACGCCCAAAGAAGTACAGGAGCTTCTTTGGGGTGTATTTGCCGCACGTATCCATTGGGATACAGCCAGGTAGCCCTCGGAAACGCGTGTTTGTCGCGCGTTTTTTATTGCAAAAGGCGTGACAAACGCGCATATTCGATACGCCTAGGTGTCAACCCAGCCTTAAAGTAAACTTGTCATAAGAGAAATATAGAGGCAGTCATTTACAAGTTCTCCTTCTGAAAATGCTACCCACCAGCTGTTACGGTGACCCTTTTTCTTCAATACTTTAAGTCCTGGCCTGACACAAAAACACAGATAGGAGCTTATGACTTTTCTCTGACTTCCCTGATTTGCGCTCTTGTTCCAGGTCAGGCATTTCTAAATTAATAAACCTAGTGGGGTAAGCATAACAGCCAGGCAACTAGCATTTCCAGAAAATTGTATTTCCAGAAAAACTGGTATTTCTCTTGTTACAGGTTTACTTTAGGTGCTAGGTCTTATTTTATGGGATAGTTAAGTGTTAATGAAGGGAAGGGAAAGTAAGGGCAGATGTCAGGACCCTATCCTCGGTCTCGGATTCAAGGAGCTCCACAGGGGCAATTTGAAGGCTAACTAGGGTACCTAAAGGCACCACAAAGTGCGTGCATTTCAGGATTTTTGCTACCCTGGAAATGTCTTAGGCCAGGTGAGATTCACTTGTCTGAATTCTCTGCCATTTACTGCACTTTACGTACTCCTTACATGTAGGGTGGGATGGTATATTTTCTGAAATGTTCGCTGTGCAGCTTTCCCTCTCCCTCTGTGCTTGACACATTAACAATCAGATTTAACTTCTAATGCAGATCTGAATCTAAATGTTGCCTCTGAGAATTCTTCTGACACTCTGATACATCAAGCATTCTGTTTGTGAAAGACAGCAACAAGCCTGCAGTGGATGTGTTTCAGAATTTCTCTCTCTGCATTACAAACTACCAAGCAAAAGAGTTTACCACACTATCATATTACAGACAAATGAGATGGAGTGGACTGGCGGCCAGCAAGACCTGAATGGGAACCTAAGGAATTGAGCAAGTACGCTATATTCCTTGTATGTATATTAAGGCAAAATTGTAGCCAAACAATGAGCATTTCAATTTTTACATATACTTAATAAGCAGTAAGCAAGCCCTCACCAACCTCTGTAGCTGCAGCCACTGAGGAGTCACTCATCATTAAGGTTTGCAACAAAAGCTTTTCCGTTTCACTTTTATTTTCTCTTGGTAGCTCAGTTCCCCCTTGGCCCCCCCAGAGGAGCTACAGCTTGCGGTATACTGAGATGTCGCAGCCGGGACAGATCCCGACAATACTGTCTGGATCAGACCAGCTGTGGGAATGACAGCTGGCTCTGTCTATCCAGAGACAGAGCCAGCTGTGCTCGCCCCCTCCCCTGTCCGTTTCGCCAGTCAGGCTAGAGGATCGGACAGGGGAGGGGGGGAATCCATGCGGGGAGCCGTGAGTTACAGTCACGGCTCTCTGCAGGGATAGATCGAGAAGTGAGTGAGCGACGGTATGTGTTCGCTCACTTCCCGATCTACTGAGCCGACCTGTGACAGTTTCATTGTCACAGGTCGGCTAGACCACACTTCAATTACATCACTGCCTTGAGCTCTGAGGATGAATTTCCCCACGGTGTCTGCAGCTAGAGAGGTCAGCAAGGGAATGTTTTAATGCTCACATTGGATATTTGAATGCCCATGACCTGGCCACAATTCAAATTGTCAGTTTTGACTGAAATGTTCCTTTATCTGCATTTTTAACATTAAACGAATGTTGGCTTCATCATTCCGGCATAGCTTTCTTGCTACACACAGCTTTTTTTTTACCCCAATCCTTGTATGACAGATGGAGCTGCAATGCTCAATTAAACAAATTGCAGCTTCCCCAAACAATTATTTGACCTTGTCCTTCGTGTGGAAGGATTCCTAAACAGGGTAAGTGAGGCCAAGAACTAATCACAGCAGTAATGTGAGCAGTGTGGGGATGAGGTATCAACTTCATAGAGCCAACTCTTTACAATGGATTTACATTGTGGAAATCTTCTTAAAAAGTGGTGAGGGTGGTAAGATGCGGCCTTGATATCTTAGCTAAGCCTCTATATTAGAATATGCTACACATCATTCCAAACCAAGTTCATTGGCATTTGGGATGCACTGCTCTTACCTTTGATCCTTCTGCTCCAGGAATACCGGGGAATCCCTTTCGGCCTGGATATCCCTAAACATAAGCAAAAAAAAGAAATAATAAACACAAAATACATGCATTGCAGTTTGGATGCTTAAAAATAATTCAAAAGTATTATCTGTTGTTTGTTGAACAGCAATTGCAGTCCCAACATGGTCAAACGCAGGAATGTGCAGGTACCTAAATTAAGTTTTTCATAAGCCCCATCCTCCTAAAACCTCTGAAATCCAGGAAAGTCTTAAAAACTTCTGTACTGATGGAATGATAATTATTAAAGCTGAACTCCTGGCAGCTAAATAAAATACACACTGCAGTTATATATTAATACATTTAGGTTTTTAAATGCAACTAGTCTAAGTATCCTGGATTTGGTATCAGCTTCTTGCAAATTCCTTTACAGGAAAAGTATGATGCTGATAGAATGACATAGCACAGTGAGCTGAGTAAGGCCCGACATGAGCCTGACCGTCTCCTGCTGCTCTTTCACTGTCCAATAAATGGGTCAGGGGTGGAGAGAAGACACATTCCTTAACTCTAAATGGTGTGAACCACCTGGCTGTACTGAGTGATAGGGTAGTGTAAATCGCATGCTTGGGTCAGAGAAATAAATATCCTCTGGCATCTAAAACAGCTCCCTTACAAGCTTTTAATTAGGGATGCACCGATACCGAGTATTTGGGCGAGTACTCGTACTCACCCAAATACTGCCGATGCTTACTCCGATACCAGAACTTCATGCCGCTGGCTTCCTGATTGGCCGGAAGGCCGGCTCCATACTCCCTTGTCACCTAGGAGCATGGAGCCAGCTTCCTGGCCAATCAGGAAGCCAGGGGCAGGTAATGACTCACCCCCAGGCTTCCTGATTGGTCGGGAAGTTGGCCAATCAAGAACCTGGGTGGTGGGCCATTACTCACCCCACCCCCAGCCTCCTGATTGGCCAGAAAGCTGGCATCATGCTCCCCGGTGACAAGGGAGCATGAGGACCTCTTCCCGGCCAATCAGGAAGCCGGGCGGTGTGTAATGACTCGCTGCCCGGCTTCCCGATTGGTCGGGAAGCTGTCCAATCAGGAAGCAGGGCAGCAAGTCATTACCCACATACCAGCCTCCTGATTGGCCAGAAAGCCCACCCGGTACGTCACCTGGTGATGAGGGAGCATGAAGCTGTGTTCCTGGGTAATCAGCAAGTTATTACCCACCTACCAGCCTCCTGATTGGCCAGAAAGCCAGCTACCCACCCGGTACGTCACCTGGTGATGAGGGAGCATGAAGCTGGCTTCCTGGGTAATCAGGAAGCCGGGGGGGGGTGAGACATTATAAGCCGCCCTACTTCCTTAATGAGACTTCTGGTATCAGTTTTCGATATCGGCAAGTTCTCCCCCTAAAGTACCCCCTCCCCCCCAAAAAAATATTGGTACTCGCACTCGATACCGAAAAAACGGTATTGGTGCATCTCTACTTTTAATCTGTGTAGCTGTTGTCAATGTTGTTGCCTGGAATTAAGCCTTATGCTACCAACCAAAAATCTATATATTAGAATTTTTCTAAAAAAGATTCTCATTGCATTACCATGTATGCATGTACCTATGGAGGGGGAGCTCTATACAGGCATCCCGGTCACCAATTAAAAGGAAGCTTATATCAAGATAAATGCCAGCATAAACATTAGTTGCATTATGATTGTAATGATTTTTAATTAATAAATAAGTGCATCCAATTGTGTTTGCAATGCCTGCTGGGAGTTTAGCTTGCTAGCTTATGTTCATAAGAATTTTATACAGAGTTTCTACTGAAAAGCCACATTAAAGGTGGGTGAAAGCCACGTGCCTCTCTGAGAAAACTAGTCCCATACAAGACTAGAAAAACGAAAGCACAAAAAAAATCTGATATCCGATTTATTGCTCATGACCAGATCATATCTGAAGCTTTGTGCAATGTAAATCAAGATGCCTTATACAGTGGATTTATGAAACATGCAGTAATGTTCTTCTACAAAGAGCTCATATTCAGTCTGTACTTTCAAGAGGTTATTCACTGCAAATAAACCAGCAATTTTGCAAGTGTCTTGCTAAGCAGAGCAATCAAAGATAGACTGTTAGCAAGCCAAGATACAGAAGTGACAGAGAAGTAGCTTGCCACTGGTGACAGCAGGAGGAGCTGACCATGAGTATTTGGGGGTGGACAGGTTCTCAGTGGGATACACATTGCACCCATATCAGCAACTGCCAGCCATAATTACCTAATTAGAAGCATTTCAGTGTGAGATGACAGAAATGTTCTAGACATAAAGGAGCTTCTATTCCTGCCCTATAAATAAAGCCTGTACTGACTTTACTTTGGCCAGGGTCACCTCTGTTAGCTTCTATATTAAGCAATGAAAACGTTAAGCAGGAAAATGCTTCATTTCCTGCTAATGTCTACAAAAAGAGAAAACGCAAAAACAAAACAAGTTTAGTGAGTAAAAATAAAATAAATTTGTACCTCCGGGCCAGGAAAACCTGGTGGCCCAATTGGTCCCTCATCTCCCTAGAAAGGAAACAAAATGACAGGTCAGAAAGAATTAAACCTAAACTCTCAGGTTAAAAATTACAGCTTCTTATAATATATGTGCCAAGTCAGGAAAAAGATGCTGTTATGGTTTCTTGTTGCTCCTCATCCATGTAATTAATGGATGTTCGTGAAAAAAATAGAGATGATAACAGTCTTTGTGTTTGACAACTTTAAGTGAGATTGTAATACAGTAAAACTGTGGGTTCCATTGTCTGAAATAGACAGGTTTTTCATGAAATGCCTACTGTCTCTTCTGTTTCCAACATTTTCTTGTTCAGTAAAGGGTTTCTCCACCCAATGGCATTACCCTTTTTCTCAAAACCATGGTGTATCTAGAGCAGCTGTTTTCAGCCAGGATTCTTCTAGAGGTTACCAGGGGAGCCTTGGGCAGCGAGTAATAGAGAATTGACCTCCCACCTCATGGTGCATGCATAGTTCCAGGGCCTACATCACCCGAAAGAGCCATTGGAGTGGGGCCAGTGGAGCCTCTTTCACATAAATAACCACTGACACCAATTGTATTTTAGCAACTTGTAAGGGGTTATTTTTCACTATGATCACCAAAGTAAGGTGCATCCCAAGACTCCCAATGTAACAAAGCATTCTTCAATCCACTGACTAGAAATGTAAGGGATCCTTCTCTCCTGACCATAAGTGTAAAGGGGTTCTTCTCAACTGAAGACCAATGTATAAGGGCACTTCTCCACTGATCAGTAATGTAAGGTGGCAATATTCTGGTTGTCATTACTGGTTTAGTATTAATTCATATTGCCAAAAAAATGTTAGAGCAGGACGGTGTTAAAAACGTTCAGCCTTCAGTGTCTGAACACTGGAAGCGTAGTAGACATTTTTCTAAAATCTGTCACACCTTTGCATGACAAATGCATGTGGCAAAATTATGTGCCTGGCAAAAACAAGTGGATTAATTATCTGCACAGATACATGGTGAAAGGTGGCACTGTGTCAAGAGTATCCATACCGGACACTCTATTCTGCTCAGTACAGTAGCTCAGTAATGCTGATCCAGATAGAATCACAGGCCCAGTTTTAGTGAGCTCCCTGCCCAGTTACTGTGCCTGTCTCACATTCCATGGATGACTTTCTCCAGCCCCATAAACTACGGTCATACCATTCCACTGACCTACGGCTGGAGAAACAGTCTGCAGAAGCCTATGCATCTGTGATCCACTGATAGTAGTTGCAATGCTTTGTAGGCCCAAATGCAAAAAAATTATAATAGCACAATATTTCTTCCATTAATGTGTATTTATTTATTTATGTATTTTTTCCAAAGGTGAGCTATGCATTTAAAAGCCAGATTGAAGTTACACACCATTTTTTTTCTGAGGTGATTATTGCTGTTTTTCAATAACTAAGAAACATTGCTAAAGCTTAGAGTGCAATGCATTATTTCTTTTTCTGACCAACTCCACACCTGCTGAGATAATCTCAGTGAGCTTTATAGTTACAGTATACTGTATTATTAACAATCAGTCAGACCTGACCTATGGGCCCGCATTGAGGGAGAAGATCAATGAAACTGCAAAATGACTCATCCACTCACTTGTTATCTCTCGTCTTGACTATTGCAACTCCCTCATCATTGGCCTTCTGCTACACAGGCTATCTCCCCCTTCAGTTTATCATGAATGCAGCTGCTAGACTCATCCACCTATCCAAACGCTCAGTGTCTGCAACCACCCTCTGCCAATCCCTGCACTGGCTTCCAATAGCCCAAAGGTTAAAATTCAAAATATTAACAATCACTTACAAAGCCATCCACAACTCTGCCCCCGGCTATATCTCAAACCTTGTCTCAAAGTATCACCCTAACCGTCCCCTCAGCTCTTCAAATGACCTTCTGCTTTCCAGCTCCCTCATCAACTCCTCCCATGCTCGCCTCCAGGACTTCACTAGAGCCTCTCCCATTCTATGGCCCTCTCAACCACAACCTGTCCGTCTATCTCCCACTCTGACTGCCTTTAGGCGATCCCTTAAGACTCATCTCTTCAGGGAAGTCTATCCCACCTCAACCTGACCACTGAATTATCACATTCTCAAACAATTCATCCCCACACAGCTACCTCCTCATGTATCACTTCCCCCACCCTTTAGATTGTAAGCCCTCACAGGCAGGGCCCTCCTTAGGGTCTTGTCTTGAATTGTATTGTAATGTATTTCTTATATTGTGAAGCGCTGCGCAAACTGTTGGCGATATATAAATCCTGTATAATAATAATAATGAAGCACAGTTATAATGCATCAATACTAACAAGATAGCAGAACCTATTTGTTGTGATGAACAAATATGGCTGCCCCACGTATATAAACAATGTCAAGCTGATCACATTCACACAATAGCCAACCTATTAAATCTGTCAAACTTAAATAAATATGTAAAATGACTATAGTTTCCCCTTAATGTGCATATTATTATTAAATGTAATAAATATACAAAAGTATACCACTGTAGTTCTATAATCTTTGTCCAGACGGCAAGCAAGGTTACAGCAAGATAAATGAAGTTCTGGACAGTTAGTAATAGGGTCCCAAGACACAACAGGTGTCAGGAATATGATTACTACTTTGATCTGATCAGAAGGTGCTATTCTACTTATCAATACTCACGTCAAGCCCAGGTTGTCCTCTGGGCCCTGGGAATCCTCTGGCTCCTGGCTTTCCCTGTGAAATAGCAAAAAGAAAGAGGGTATCATATAAATGAAGGACAAATCTCATAGGATCCCGTCAGACGAGTAAGAGCAAAGTGAAAGAGCTCTAGAGCTGCTTTGCCATGGGAAGGTGGGAAGGCATCCAACATCATTTTCGTAGAAGAGAGAGTTTTGGAGAAGCCTCAATACAAACAGAAAAGATGTGGGTGCTGCCAGCACAATCTCCAAAAATCTCACTCTCAATCATTTGTTTTATTTTTTTTGACCGGTTAATAACAGCTTAGGACAAAGTATACCATGCTCCGAACATCTCACCTTCAAGCCTTCTGGCCCGTTTTGTCCTGGTGGCCCAATGTCACCTGGAAAACCCTGCAAGAAAAAGAAAAGAGCATTACACCTGCAGGATGGGTGCTGAATAAATTCTTTGTGTCCTATTTGGCAGGGCTCTCCAAACAAAACATACAGCAGTCAAAGGCTTTGGTGTCTGCCCTGTGAGTAATCATCTGAAACAGGTTACTGTATGATATAGGTTTTAATGGGTCTTATTTATTACATCCGGAACACATATTCAGTATGCTCATGTTTCCTTGACTGCTCTGATTCCCCAGATTTAGAACATAAAAACTCGGAAGTACAAACTTTTGAGGCAGCTGTATCACAGCTGTAATTGATCATTCGCACCCATACTTGTCTGACATCATAAACAGAGACTTTTTAGCATTGGGGGTTGATCAATCTTTGTATCAGCTGCACAGTGAAGATGCTTACCAATTTACTGTTTCTTATGTGGAACCCCCCCCCACAATGTAATATGACATGTTCCAAGAACATGACAGTTTGGCAAGGTCACTAGTGTATCTATCCACTTCAGGGAGAGTTCCTCCCTAGGTATGCTGACTGCTTTTGTCTTTTCACAGCACTTTGTGAGAGAATGTTAGGGGTGGAAGCGGTGGAGCATTTTCTACTCGTCCTGGGAGTCACAGATCAGCAAAGCTTTACACCAAACTTTAGCAAACGCGAATTGTGGCCACTTGCTTTAACAGGACAGAAAACTTTTCCTTTCTCAAACCAAAAGTGCAATGTTCTGACAAGATGTAGTTCAAATCAATGTGAAGATCTAAACTGGCTCACCCGCAGAGGCCCTTGATCAACGGATTGTGAAGTTTAGACTCTCAAGATCCCTAATTGGTTGTCCACTGCACAATGTCATAATGTCCCAACAGAGAAAAATAAAAAAATTAGCTGAAACTTTCCAAACCGTCAAACTAGTACTAGTGATTGAGCTGGGATCTACATAATTAGTCAGGTTGAAAAAAGACACAAGTCCATCGAGTTCAACCTATAGCGAGCTGCTGGGGTCCATTGCGCGTCCCTGTACCTTTGAGGGAGGTTGGGCTTCCCCCTGACAAACCTGCACCCAATTTGATCTTTTGCCACATGTGCTCCAAGATGGAGACTCTCATAGTTTTTAACCATAAACCTCTGTTTTTAACCTTAGCGGTGAGACAGGTTTTATTGCATGCTGGCTGGTGAGTGTGCTGGGAAACTTTTTGCTGTTGTAGTGTATGCAAAACAAAACACAAAAAATTGCAAGTAGCAAGCAGATGGAGTGTTTTGGCATAATAGGACATACAGTATAAGGTCCCTTCTGCTAGAAGACTACCTCCTAATAAATTAAATTTCACAGTAATGCTGGATTCGCACTCTATTTCCAGTACTGATGGAATCCGTGACTCTTGGTCCACATGCTGATTAGAACTAGTGTACAGTACTACAGAGCCAGAGCTCTTCCATCAGAGCATTGCCAGTGTTGTGCTTTGTGACAGTTCCTTTTACTCTGAACATCATATCTAGATATCACATATCTAGGTATTTGCTCACCATTTGTCCTTCCTAGAATAGATAAAACGCTGAAGATTCTTGATTGCTGCACTAGGTTGTGTAAGGTCCCCTGGTATTTACATATAAGTGCCCTCCGTCTGCCTGAGCTGTGAGCAGTGTGCTAAGCTCCTGTCACAGATAGGCAGACACTGCACAGCCCATTTGCAGCCCTCAGCCACAACAAGGTAAATGACGTTGGAGGACAGAATCACTGGCCATGAGTGTGACGGCATGACAGAGCATTAAAAAACGGGCAGCCACCATGGGCCCCCTCATGGCCGTGGGCCCTTGGGCAGTGCCCGACTGCCCGAATGGTCAGTCTGCCCCTGTTTGGCACCAAGCTCACTATATGGACAAGTTCTGTATTTATACACGGTGACCATGTCCCCCCTTGGTCGCCTCTTTTCCAGAGAGAACAAATTCAGGTCAGTTAATCTTTCCTCATAGCTGAGCTCCTCCATGCCTCTTATGAGTTTAGTTGCCCTTCACTGCACTTTCTCCAGTTCCACAACATCCTTTTTGTGAACTGGTGCCCAAAGCTGAACTGCATATTCCAGATGAAGTCTTACTAATGCTTTGTACAGGGGCAGGATTATGTCTCTCTCTATGGAGTCTAAACCCCTTTTAATACGAGAAAGTGTTTTGCTTGCTTTAGAAACTGCAGCTTGACATTGCATGCTATTTTTGAGTCTATGATCTACCAGAACACTCAGATCTTTCTCCACCATTGACTCTTCCAAACATACTCCACCTAGAGTGTATGGCACATGCATGTTTTTTGCCCCCAAGTGCATAACTTTACATTTAGCAACATTAAACCTCATTTGCCAAATAGATGCCCAATCACACAGTGCATTCAGATCTGCTTGTAGGTTGGAGACATCCTGTAAGGACTGTATTCCACTACATAAGTTGGTGTCATCTGCAAACACAGAAATAGTACTTTTAATCCCCAACTCTATGTCATTTATAAATAGATTAAACAGGAAGGGGCCCAACACTGAACCTTGGGGGACACCACTAATGACCTCAGACCATTCAGAGTATGAATCATTGATCACCGCTCTCTGAATAAGGTCTGGTGGTCTGAATCTAATATTGTAACAGCCAGATTGTGGCAAAATTACTTCAAAATTATCCCCATTAGATGCTAAATTTGATTTATAAATACCATAGTCCACCCAGAATTAAGTAGCACTCAGGATATCTGCATGGGTTAATTTCCAGTCAGCAAGTAGGGAAGGGAAGGGTAAGCTTTGCCTTTCTCCATATCAAAATAAGCAGAGGTGCCAACCAATTTTTTTATTTTTGCAGTAAAAAGGACAAAAAAAATATGCTATCATATTACAGTGCAATTTGGAGACCGGACTAAACAATAATAATAATGAAGCATTTCTGGTGTGAATTGCCATGTTTTTCTACTTACTAATGGCACTACATATGCTGTAGTGCTCAAAGGTGGCTTTACAAGGTGTGAGCGTGTGTGTGTGTATTCCTGCTTACACGTGTCTGTGGTTTTTTTTGTAAGTGATTCTGTTAGTGATTACTTTGCCTTACTATGCTAAAACCAATAAAATAAATGGATATTTCATCCAGGGCAGATGCTGTTCGCTTTTAACAAAATAGTTCAGTAAAGAATTACATCCAATTTCAATGTACACAACACAATGCAGACTGCCAACGCCATGATCTAACAATTTCTGGCTCTGCTGTATGGGCAAAATAATACGGTTTTACAGTCCGCTGGCTGCCAGTGGGACTTCTCCCTGCTGTACAGCAGTACTAGAGCTGTAGGAAGAGGACAGGGATTCAAACAGCAATTCTCCCAAAATGGAATGACTCACTTTACTTGTGATGTCACCAAGCTCATATTAAACACCTTGTATGGACTGAACTCATACTCCCAATAATTGTTCTCTTCCTGTTTCACCATAAAATGTAATTACTCTGTGCTAAACATCTTCCATTGCCGGGACTGTTCCTGGACTACTCCCTGTACAGTACACTGCTATTGGCCTGCCAACTAAAAGCATAATAACGGTTACTGTGAGATGAGATACGCAAAGCCTGCATTGCACTTGTCCTTGACGGTAGTTTACTTAAAAAGAAGCATATTTAAAAGAAGCAGGACTGATGTTTCAGGGACTTGCAGGTTCCCGTTATTAAGGTGCAATTGCATGGATGCACTTACAGAAGGGTCATTGCACCTTCAAAAATGGTAGCTGCGAGTCTCTGAAAGGTTGTCCCTTCTTCTTTTGATTATGTTCTTTTTGAAGTAAACTACCTTCAAGAAAATGGGAATGCTGGCTTTCTGTATCTTAGTCATGTTTGTGGTACCACCACTAGCCGTGCACCCGACTACAGCCTGGGACTTAGAGGTACATGTGCAGGATAGACTTTTTCATCTGGAAATTGGGATGAAGAATCCTTCTGCTCACCCCGCATGACTGGCCAACATCAAATCCAGTATGAAAGCATACAGTATAATGATGCATAGTAAATGACAGCAAACAGTCTATGATAAGTTTTTATTAGTTAAAAGGTCTTTCTATCCAAGACTAATATTTTAGTTATATGTAAACCCTGGGATGCTTAGTCAGTTCCTGGCTTCTCATATGTCATGATTCCATAACAGCGAGATTCCCCTGCCATAATTCCCAACTCTGTTACGTCCATCTGGAAGTTTTTTTTGTTCCCCCACCCACCTTTGTATGCTCCTGCTACTTCTGCTGCATTATTCATAACATAAATACAATTCCAGTCAGTCAACATCTACCAAATACAGTTATACGTTTTAGATATCAGGTTTAGGTGGACCGAAATTTGTACTGAAAGGGTAACAGGTTGGTGATTTGCTGTTAGAGGAAACACTGCATCAGTATTCTGAGTAAAGTAAATTAAAAAGGTTGGCATTCTCTAAATATTCATGAGCTGGATAAGCCAGGAATGTCATATGTAGTTTAGTTTAGAGTTAAATACCGTCTAGTCAATAACTTTTAAATAGTTTGAATTTTTTTTATATTTTGCTTACACCGGGGAAGGATTAGAACCTCTGTCAGGAAGTGAAAGGCTTTATTTACTAAAGGCAAATAGGCAGTTCACTTTGCAAGGACATTTTCCCTTAGCTTAGTGAACGAAGTGAAGCTCTGCTGATGTCCATCATCCAATTATGTGCAAGCAAAAATACTGTTTTTTGTTTAATTTTACTTGCATGTGATTGGATATTCTTTGCACAGTTCACTATATTCACCAAGCTAAGGGAAAATTCCCTTGCAAAGTAAACAGCCTATTGGCCTTTAGTAAATCAACCCCACAAATCTCCCTCTGGACAGCAATAACAAGTGCCAGAGGTTCTATCCCTTCCTCTGAAAAATAAGTCACATAGCAAAAAACATACCTCTGGACCTGGCGGACCTGGTAAGCCAACCAAACCTTTATCCCCTGGTTTACCCTGTAAATGAAAAATGTTTTGTGCTTAAAAGAGAAAGGTCAGGCTGTCTACAAAGTAACACATTAAACTCTAAACTGAATAATTAATAACAAGAGGAATACAAATAACAACATTACACAAGGTATAATAACCAACAATTATTTGTCTTAATTTTTTTCAAAGTATAGATATAGATAGCATCTGGTATGTGTATGAAAGTGTATGAAAAACAATAATCTATGTGTTAGTATGCTTAGAATCAAGCCTTACAGTATCAATTTTTCTTAAAGAAATATTTTTTGTGAATCTGTTACATAGTTTGACATCACTTGCCTTGAGATCCTGCCAGTAAGAGAACTTCCTGTTTCAGGATGATAACACAAAGATGTCTTAGCAGCAACATTGTCAGCCTGCCATGTGCACTCCTTCAGTTGACCACAGGGCTGTCTATCAGGTCTGTGCATGCACCCTGCATACCTATTAGGCAGCTCAACAGCCAACTGAAGCAAACTGAAATTGTGCTGCTAAAGGCAGCGCCTTAGTGCTGTCAGCCTGTAACACAAAGTGTTACTACTGGCAGGATTTCCAACTCAAAAACTGTGCAACAGATTCACAAATGCTTAAGAAGACTGTATACACTAATGCATGATGCCAAGCATACTGACAAATAGATTTTGGTTTTATATACACTTTAACTAGCTGGCAATTTTGGGTAATAGTATCATGTTCATATTGCACAGAGTGGCATTAAAGATACACTTTATCTTTAGTCACAATCGGGGCAGCAAAACATTCACTTGGTTGTTCCAAACCAAGAAATGGCATATTTAGCCTTTCTGTTGTATAAATATTTCTCTCAACATGCCATGCTAGCTTTTGTCATGGCTTTTTGCGCCTTGGTTTTAAATCTAACAGCAGCTGCAGCTCCGAAATCTGCCAATCTCGGCTTGAAACAAATCATGTAACAGCGCCACCTCGCAGGCAAAATGCAAAACTACAATTGTCAAATCTCCATCTGCCAAAAATCTAAGGGGGCTATTAACAAAGGAGCCGAAGGATCTAGCCGTAGCTTTGGCTGATCCTTCGGCTCTCTTCCCCCGCCGGAGCCCTTTGGTTCAGTCGAACCGAAGGGCTGCTGTACGGGCTATTCACAATCGGCTTCGGCTCAGCCGATCTAATTGTTGGATTGGCTGAGTCGAAGTCCTTCTGCAGAGCATATTCGGCTGACTGAAGTGCAGCCGGAGGCAGCTGATGTACGGCTGAAATCAGCCGTACTGAGTAGAAACGAATAGCCGAACAGTGTTCGGCTCACTTCACTGCGGCTGGGTTATTCACTCGGTGAATAACCCCCTAAGTGCCTCATACACAATAAGCCTAAGCAAACCATAGAATAAAAAGCTATTATGATTTATTTATAGCAGACATATGCCTCGACAGCATCGGTTTAATGAAGATGTCTTATTCTGTTTTGCAATGTTTATGCTAACAAGACGTCGGAAAAAATTACACGAAGCTCAGTGGTTTATATTTAACACTGCGCCAGCAATTGAAGCCTAGTGGAGAATTTCGCAATGTAATAATGTGGACTGTGTTAAAATTAGGATTGAAAAAAACAAAGGTAATACAAGGACAACCTCTCTGATTAGGAAAGCAGATCTTACCACTGGTCCTGTCTTCCCACGTGGTCCTGGTGGGCCTGGAAGACCCTGGCTGCCCTATGAGACAGTAATCAGAGAAATTTTATTGTGCATTACCCAACACCTTAACCAATAAAAACAGATTCAGTGAAAATATATCCTGACATGGATTAGTGTATGTCTCTGTATTGTACAAATGAAAATTCCTTCCCCCTAAAGATTTCCTGCTTCTAAACCTGAACTCCAGGCAAACAGCTAAGGGAGGGAAATCCTAAATTTTGATTCACCAAAACAGGAAAAGAACGGACATATCGCAATAGGAACACCTATTCTGTGACAACCGCTTAACAGCCCATTTCCCACACTGTGGAGAAATTTTCTTTGAATTCCTGTTGTGTTTACTAAGCAGGAATTAATACGAAATCTCTTCAATTACTCACAGATTGCAAAAAAACTAAATCAAACAGGTTTTTTAACCTTCCCTACTATTCATAATGAAAATTGAAGATATACTTTAACAAATTTAATATAATTTCACAATGCTGCCAATCAGGTTATGATTCGGTGGTTGTATTAGTGGGATTGCCTCATACTGAAGAAAGAGGAAAAAAAAGATTGATAAAATAATTTAAAAAATAACTACATTTGACTATTTTGCAAAAATATTGTAAGAAAACAGACTTAAAAAAAGAGCATATGGGAAAACTACAGTGAATTTGAAAAGATCCCCAAAACTGCTCTACCAGGAAATGAAAAAAAATAACTTAAAATGTAAACTAAACCCTTTTCAAGAACCCATATTGAATGAAAAATTTAAAAACGCTGTGCGTCTGGCTTTAGGTACTAAAATATTAAAAGTCCTCACCTTATCACCTTGAAATCCGACTTCACCGGGTATCCCTGGGAGTCCCTGAATGCCCTGAGTACACATTACCAAAATAAATTACAAGGTGTATTATAGTGAGAGACAATCTTACCAGGAACATCTCATATTCCACACAAGTAATATCAAATCAAAGTGTGGACAAAATGTAATGAACTCTCAGTAGTCACAAAACACACTGAGGAGGCACACGTTGGAATGAGAAGCAAACAGTATAATACAATGGTAAGCATTAGCAATCAAGCACAACCTAGCTCAAGGAAAGAAAAACTCTTTAGGTACAAAAAATCAAATAGAAAGATGTTCTACAAGCAATTTTTATTCTACAGACAAGAGAGTCCTATTCAAAGAAAAAAGTCTTCTCATAACTACTAGACACCCATCTAGTATAACACTTTATAATGCTGAAACCACATAGCTTTTTACGTTTTGGATAGAGCACGGAAGAAATAGAACATCTGTTAAGATTTTGTTGAGGCCTGAGCCCATACCATGAATATTTCCCCCCACTTCCTGTGCATCTGAGTGATGTCTAACAGAAAGAGATGTTAAGGGTTGTTTTTTATTCGACCTAACGGAGACACAGTCAGCCTACAGGTTTAATAGTAGTTAAACCCCATATAGGCAAAGGTTAAACAAACTGTGTTATAATATCGGTCACTGTTCCATCAATTATACTGTACTTTAAACTGTACTATGGACTGGCGATTTGTCATTATGGCATAGGCCACCCAACATTTCCCATGTTTATCCACCAAGGACTACTTTCCAAATAATGGATGTTTTGATAATGCTAACTTTGAAAAATTTTGAGGGCACTCAAGCCCATTGTATTACCAGACGTTTTTAGTCTGTTAGTTCACACTTTAAACCCATATATGTTTCCTATTGTTTACTTGCAAGTATACAACAGCGGGCTCATTTCTGTTTCAAGAGTGGCATATGAGCATGGCTCTACTCTAAATTGTAATCAGGAAAGAATATGAAAAAGAGTAAGTGTACTAACAGTTATGTAACATTCAACCCAGGTAATCAAAGTTTCTGACCCCCCAGCTTCATGAACACTTTTGAAAACTAAATAACAAACATAAAATGCAGATTACT